TATATGGTTTTTAAGCGTGTTTTTAGCCTGCTAGACACCAAAAGGGGAAGCTTGCTGGCTGACAGACAGCACAGTGGTGGTTGTTGGCCTTCAGAGGTGCTCATGTAGTGAGCAGCTGGCACCTGGACTGCTTTCATATCACAAAAACACAGGTGGGAGAAAACCAGAGCTTACATAGACATGTGCTTCCTATGTCTCCTGCTCTGGACAACTATAAATACACAGCTACAATTTTTTCCATCATCTTATTTTTGAGCTACATACACAGGTATCAAAAACCTAAATTAAATGGCAATGTCAAGAAGTAATTGACACTGATAATAAAGTGCCAGACTTCCCAGAACAATTAACTGGGGAAAGGGGAATATGATTATTTTTTTCTGAGGACTAAAGACTATCAAACCAACCCTCAAATGACACAGAAAGACTTACCAAGAGTACCATATGTACACAGGGAGACTCTTTTTGGCTCATACAGGCTTTAGAGATTGCAAATTATGGTTATTCCTAGGAGGAAAGAAAAGAGGTTCTGTCAGTTGTACAATTACTTTTTATTGGCAGTGCTCTTTCAACTCAAGAAAACATTGGCTGAGGTTCAAGACCAAGATTTGGCTCAAATGCCACCACAATTTTTCAGAAATGTGATGAATGTTCCTCAAGAAATAGTTTCCTAAGGAAGCCACAAAAATGTGTCCAGCTAGGTTTCAGGATATCTAAAATGATATCCAAAAGTTGCTACCACTGAAGATCAACTGCCTTAAGTAATTTCACTAAATGACATTTTTACCTGTCAGACTGGCTGATGCTCTCTAACAAAGGGATCCCTGACACATTTGGATGAACAGTTTCATAAATGTTGATGTATGTTTATCTATCATTTATTTTGAAGGATAAGCTATTAAAAAAAAAAATAAATCAATCTAGTGACAGTGGAAGACAGTCCTGTCTCTGTGAAGGTGGTGACGTGTGGGCCTGAGGGTCATGTATTGAACATAAATTCAGTCACTGATCTCTCATGCCTGAGTGAAAATATCCCCAGGACTGAGAGAAAACTTCATTTTAGAAAAGTTGATGAGACTTTTTTCAGTTGCTGTCAAGGAAGGCAAGATGTCAAAAGTCTGTCTTCCTGCTGTCTTCCCTGAAGATGTGCCCCTACAAGATAGCAGGGTTAAAGCATCAACCATTCCTACCCTCAGTTCTAGAAAATTTAGAAAATTAGCAAGTATTAGTAAACTGATCTTTAGCTTACCCTGACCTGAATCTTAAATTGCTAGAAGAGACTGGAGATGTGTCATGTAAAACATCTACTTTTGTTCCCAAAACACCTTTAATGTTAACTGAGTTATCTAGAACACAAAAGCCTATTTGTAAAATTTTTCTATGATGCTTTATACAGAAATACTGGGAAAAATTTTAGGTACTTACAGAGGATTCCTGTCTGTAATGGGATGAAGATATCAAAGCATAACCATCAAGCAAAAGCAGGAGAAATAGTAATTTTTATTTGTAAAATGTGCATATAAGCGTATCTATAAGGAGGCAGATTTAAAATAAGCTCAAGTCTAACAAATATTGGGAATATCTTCTACAATTTCAGAAGATTAATGACTTTGGACTTTTAATCAGCTGTAAAAAACTAGTATTTTTTATTTTTTTTTTGAGCATAGAGTTAATTAAATGTAGTGACATATTTAGGTTTTTACCAGTGAAAGGCACAATGAATGGGCCTCTAAAAATCTGTGCTTTTACTCTGCTTTTTTTTTCCTTTCCTGGGCTGTAGAAGGGTCCATAGCTAACCCAGAGGATGTTTTTATCTCTCCATCGACTCTCCAGTGAATTCTTAATACTTGAAATTTTGATACGAGTGTGATCAGATTCTGCTTCCTCACACTCATTTCCAGTTATTTCAGATTATAAAGGTCTGGCATACTCTCAAAACACAGATCTTAAATCTGGCAACATTTCTCCAACAGATACATGCATACAGAAAGCACAAGGGTAGACAAAACAGGATAATGTGAAGACTGTATTTTATAACACAGGAAAGAAACAGAATCAAATTCCCCAATTTTGATAAGATTGCCGATAAGAAATGAACTTGTAACTTAGTGAAATATATAAGTTTTGTCCCTCTGCAGGCTATAAAAATTAATGCTTGCTAGTTAAGATTTCAATGCATTTCAATAGTTTGGTTCTTAATTACTTGTATTTCTAGACAACTGAGAATAAACGCAAAAATATTCAAAGTTCATTTGGAGTTCACTGATTAAAACCTTTCCCAGATCTCAAAACACAACAGTTGAGCTTTCGTCCCAAGGAAAGGTTAGATTGATTCCTGATTTAATCAGTTGCTAAGCATTATTAAAATCAGTGGCTTATACAGTTTCTTAGACCAAGAATAACCCTCCTGTTATTAACTCTGTACTGTCTGACAATACTTTCTTATGTGGAACAGACCATGCAGTAAATAGATGACAAAAGACACCACAGAAACAGGTGATAACATATTCCTATGTCTTTAATGGAAACATTTTGTTACAATTTAGGTTATGTGATATTCTTGCATTTTTAAAAAGTGTGAAAGAAAATGCACAGACTAAAGAGTCAAAGGACACCAGTGAATGTAGATATTTTAAATGACCAAGTCATAGAAGAAATAAAACACATTACACAAATAAACAAAGGTTATATCCACAGTCATGAATACACACTCTCCTCTACACAAAAACAACAATAAATAAAATCACATTATATGCAGATAGTTCTACTTACATCAGTACAATACACTGTGCAGCTTTCCTTTTGTTTTCTGCTCACCTGGTACTAGGTTTCTTTGTTGTCCAGTATTTTTCCATTAATAGAGAACAGCATCACCGTAAAAAGGGGGACAAAGTTTCTGTCCACAGTGTCTATCCTGAGACCTGTTAGATTTTGACTGTTACACCCTATGCACAAGAAATACAGCAAATTCTGACCATTGCCTTCATCCCACCTCTCCAGGTTTTCTCAGCACTTTCAGACCTGCACATTAAGACTCTCTTTTCTGGGAGAAAGAGAAGTCCAGACAATCCCCAAGTAGAAAATAACACGGCTGAGCTCCTTGTGCCTGCTGCCAGTGCACAATATCAGCAAAACCTGCGCTTGTAGTTGGGGTGTGGGGGGCAGAATTGTGTGTTCCCTATGCATACCAGTTGACATTACAAAAGAAACCCCTAAAATTAGATTTATTTTTTTTTTTAATACCCATTTTGGTACATTTTTGTTGCTTGTTCAAGTGTCCTCTAGAAACATTCATATGACAGAAACACCAAGGAACAGTTCATACAGAGTGGATTTTAACCTTTCAAAGATTTTTCATTGAATGAATCCAGCTAACATTTCTGAATATAGCGTAACACACAAACTGTGACAGTGTCAGATTACTCAGAGTAATTTGTCTTTGATTCCGAATATTAATTTAGGGGTTTGTGAGAAATTTTGAGGGAACTGTAAGCCTCTCCTTTTCCACAAGTTTTTTGTACTGTAAATGTGTTTTATGTCACTTAGCACCTTCTAAAATGTAAATTCTGGGAGAAGTAATTGCATAATGAAAGTCTATATAGTGATACACTGGACACAACTAAACACTAACCCAAGAAAGCCTCAAAACTGTGGCAGCCTTATCTTCTTGATCAAAACCAGCAATAATTCCATTAAAGGTCCAACATTAACCTTTTTCCTTTCTTCCTCTATGTGTGAGATAAAGAGGGAGCTGCATTTATGACAGACTTAAGGCTTCTGTGGGGCAAACCACAGTGCTCAGGCTTTCTGTTGTTATTCTTTAGAAGAGAACAGACACTACCAATGCCTGCTGCACAGCTTGCTGACCCTGCAGACAGCCAGGTCTGAAGTCCCACAAACAGCTATTTGTTTTAATTTCAACAATCATTTTCCATCAGTCTCAGAGTTCAGATGTTAAAAGGTATCTGAGAATGAAAAACAATTCAGCCCTCAAGCCATCTGCATTAATTTCTGCCTCTAAGCAGGGATATGCACAGTGCAAACTCTTCCATGCTTCCACTTGAAAGGTTTTACACACACATACAAATCTTTTTGTGCTTTCAACAGCGAGAAAGAAAGGGGAAGGAGGAGAGGTGACACACACACACAACACACCTGAAAGCAAAATTTTTCCCAGCATGTCCTTAAAAATACATGCTAATGTACCACTAGAAATGGGTATGTCTGTTCCCATGTGCCCTGCCTTAGGGAAGGTGGTTGTTAGACTTGACACCATTTTATAGCAAATACAATAAGGATTAAAAAAAAAAACCCCAACAGGTAATTCTAGGTCCAGAACTCTGATAGTAGCTGGCGTAGCCATGGAGCAACACAAGGTGTGTTGACAGCTGAGCAGTGTCCAGCAATGAACCATGTCTGAAATAACACAAAAATCAGTGAAGAAGGAGCATTTCTGACTAACTGATGGGAAATGGCTGTCTTCTTTTCAAAGTACTTCTGAACTTAGACAAAAGACTATGAAAAAAAAAAAGGGTAAATAAAGGCTGTTCACTCTACTTTTCGAGAAAATGAGGAAAAATAACCTTGACTGCTTCACTGAAAGAACCAGAATGCCCACATGGCTACACTCTGAAGCACAGAGGAGGGCAGTGAAGGATGTGGAACTGTCTTGAGCTCCGGAAAAGGTGGACTGAATTGCCAAAGAAATTTATGACCAGGACTATTAGCTTCCTGTCTTTGATGTCTATTCTTGGCTTTCCAGGAGCACTATGGCATTCATGAGCTGAAAACATCACTGGAGCCAAGGTCAGCTAAGGCTGATGCAGCCTGTTCTACTGCAAAGCTGAGAAACTCACTCTGAACTGCTTCAAGCCTGAGGAAACTCATTGAGGGCCCGAATTTACTTCCACTGAATCAGTAAGAGGGGTTTTTTTGTCAGCTTAATGTGTGATTGCAATTCTAAGCCAAAAAATGAATCAGAGATCAACCTCCCAGTAAAATATGTCAGGGAGAACACTCTTTATTTTGTCCAGCACAAATGTTTTCTAAGCATTAGCTACACCTTAATAACTCTCCACTGGAAAACCCCAATAAAATACTCCCAATAATGCAATGGCGCATTGCTTAAGAGCAAATTGAAAATAGATCAACATGGTTTATTTTCAGAAATTAATTAATACAACTCTTTAATAAACTGAATTCTGTCCACAATCTTCCAAGGTGCTCTCAATCACACTCACAAGTTTTAGCAAAGACTGAATGTTTTCAGAGCTCCGCTGGGTGTGGTCTTCAATGAAGCATACTAGAGCAGGAGCTGGTAGTTAACCAGGGATGGTAGTAGTCACAGACAACTCAGAACACACAAACTGTCCATAAACAAAGGTTTCAGAATTACCAGTGGCACAGGACCTAGACATCTGACTCTGCAGCCGTGGGTTTCAGGAAACTAAATCACAATACTTCAGAAAGTTCTGCTTCATCTTTGTCAATTGCAGTAGAAGCCTGGGTGTTGAAGTTATGAGGGTAAAAAGGCAGGAAAACTGTCCATAGAACCCTCAGGAAGAGGATTCTGAGGTGAATCAAAAATTAAGCTGATGACTGTTTAGTAATTTTAATAAATACTGAATTAGCAGAATTTGTCAAACTTTGACAAACTGAGTATGAACCACTAGCTCAATTTCAATATAACAGGCACAGCTGTAAAATTTAGCAATAAATATACATAGCCAGCCTTTCTTAAATTCAAGCACACGGCCAATCTCCCTTTGGTTCAGCCATGGCCAGGGTCATACCCTTTGGTCCCAAGTGGGCAAAGCACTTAGAAGCTGAAGTTGAGCATATTTTAAGTGTGTTCTGAAGTGCTGAGCTGAGTCAAGGGTCTCCTTGTGCTTCTCTGTAATACAGATGTATATTTGTATTATGGGCAATTTGTTGAAGCCAAAAATGTAGGTTTTGAAAGCTCTTTTGATAATCAATTATTATTATTTTGATTACACATTCCCTTACAGAGTTTGGAGCCTAAACATTGTGGCATTGAGCTAATGCAGATGAACCAGAAAGGAAAAGTGCATTAGCCAGTAAAGAATCTCTCTGCTGAATAATCTAAACTTAAGGCAGCTTCTGATCTATGGTCCATGGAAGACTTGGGAACTATTAGCAAAAGGTCTGTGAAAGGCAGCTAAGAAGAGCAAGTTTATTTATGCTGTGAAGGAATCTACTTAGGTGAAATGTCTTAAATGATCTCCACACTTCCATGGGAAAAACGCATACATTTGTGTGCATTGATTTGCAAACATTAAACCCCATTGATCCAAAATGCTCTAAGGTGCAAAGAAGGTTCACCCCTTGGGAGGTGCTGGGATGCAGTTTTGGCTAAGCCTAGGTCAGCATCCAACAACAGACATCAAAGAAACACTTCCTGAGGTCATGATTTAAAACCCTAAGCAAGAGTTCTAAAGGATCAGAATTAATATTTTTTTTATTATAAAAATGACCTTTCACTATACTTTCTTTTTTTTATAGGTATCATAAAATGACATAATAAATACACTGTCCTGAGAATTTATTGTCCCAGCCAGATTCCCTGTCTTCTGGTGTGACTCAGCTGTGCATGGCAGAGGAAAAATGCACATCTACACAAATGTCTTGATTCCTAACTAGCCACTGTTTGAGTATTAGTGCATACTGCAAAGCAAGTCACAACAAAAATAATTTCCAAAAAAGCTTATGCTTCTAATCATATCCTCTTTTCTCCACACATTTAAAAATTTTCCTTGCCTTTTTTCTGTGGCATAGTAATCATAATGGGTAAAATAAAGTCAAAATCCTGAAAGGCCTATTTTCAAAACCAGAAGTAGATCAAAATTGATTTGAGAAGTATCTAAAAAAATGTCCCAAGCCTTAAGCTTGCCTAGGGGCTAGATAAACTCAACTGCTTGGGGGGAAAAAAAATCCAGAAAATAATCAGGAAGTCTTTTTTCCTCTCCAAGTCCATAGCAGTATGATTGCTGCTGTAGCCTACTTCTGGTGCCCATGATATAAAGAGAATACCATCCTTCTCTGGTGCCCAGAAAATAAGGAGAATATTTCTGAAAACTGTCCTTTCAGTGTCCTGATCAGTGCTGCTTTGGCTAAAGCACCTTTGTAGAAGGGACACAGGCCCAGACTGGGAAATGGGGTGCTGGAAATTGACTTCCTGTACTGGAGCTGCCCTGACAGCCACGAAGCTTTGCCCTGTGGCTGCCTGGGACATAGGACAGTGTATCACAAGGGCAGGTGATGATGAACCCTCCATAGGCTAAGAATAAAGTGAACTGAATAAGGAAAAAATACATGTCCAACAAGAAATAAAAAGCAGCAGAAAGCAGGCACAGTAAAGTTCTTGTTCCTCACTCCCAGGTGTCTCAAGTGGTTTCTCAGAATTGGTAGTCTGGCTTTTTAGGGCACAGAAGTTTTGTAGAAATCATGCTTTAGAGACAGTTTTGAGATTAACTTTCAAGTCCGACTAGAGCTGCTGAGACCAGAAAGCTTTGCTTATGAAATCAGAATAGAATAAACCAAAATATTTAATGGACTCTTAAGAACCATAGTTACAGCTCTGTATCCCCACTGGCAATACTTTTATGGGTCGTCTTCATCACATTTACAGTAAGTACTGTTCATTTGTAGACTAGAAAGTGCAAAGCTCTCCTTTGTCTAGTATAAAATAACCTGTCAGTAGCTAATTCAACACAGATTCAGTTTTGCTCCTAGTAAAATAAATGGCAAAATTTCCAGGGATACTGATGGCAGCAGGATTAAAGTCAGCCTCAAATAGTGTTTTAACACATGACTCCTGAAGGTAGTTCCTTGGGTGTTTAATTGTACACACATGGATAGTTAAATCTCACTTCTATAGGACTCTTAAACATGTGAAAAATGCATTATTTACAGCATCAGGGTGATCATCACATAGACAATTCAATAACTGCATTTGTGTTTTTTAAGTAACTCTTTGAATGTTGCACATGCCTGGAGAAAAATGTGGGGTAAAAAGTCTACTACCATCCACAAAATCATTTCTCCTCCCCTAAATACTGGTTCTAAAGTGTCTTTACAGCTGTTGACTTTCCCTGCATATTACTCCTATCATAAAAAATAAGTCTTCAAAACATCCTCTTCCTTAATTTTTGATCCTACCAAAGCAAAAATAGATACTTTAATAGAAAAATACAAGATTAAAAATATCCTAAAAAATAAAATGGTAGCATGAAATGTCATTTTTACATACAAAAAAAAAAATCCCCTTTTGAATTGCATCAGCTATACAAATACTTTCATATTTACAGTTATGGGTGCAGTCCCGTGCTCAGTGAAGTTAACGGGATTTTGCCATTGACTTCACTGGGAACAGGAGCAGGCTCAACATGGACTACATCTGCCCCCCCTGGAAAGTCATGGCAGTGGACAGAAAAGAGTGTGACAAAGCACATATAAGACTGAGGAATTAATCAGTCCTCTCCAGAGATGTGACTGTCTTTGCTGTCACTATTTTACACATGTGAAACTCCTCATCCTTCACTGGAGATTTTCCTAAGTCCCACCAGCTAAGAGGGAGAAACAGTGCTTTTGACTGTGCTGCCACACAAACAAGGAAAGAATGGTTTGTGTGTTTCCACCTGCCTGACTTTCTCAGTGGAAATAATTACAACCAAGTGCCAGTTCCCTCCCAGAACTAAGGCCCGTACACCAAATTTCATATCCCCTGTTATCTATGTCAGTGATTCAGTGATGCAGGATCATACCCCAAACGAATCCCTTTTTACCTTTTGACAGCAGCCAGCACCTGTGCCTCTGAAACCATATTTGATACCCATGGGTGAGATGCAAATATGGAAGAAGGTGGTAGAAGCTAATAAAAAAAAAAATATTAAAACAAAAAAAAAAAAGGGAACAAAATGAGGCATTCCCCATCAGCCAAGATCTGCTAGCATTAATAGCCTTAGGAAATATTGTCTTTACATATTAAGTACATCCTATAACATCAAACTGCATAATTTTTTTTTCTCATGAGATGAAAGGCCATGCGGCATAATGTGATTAGTAAATCATTCCTGAGCTTCTGAAAGAAATTAAGACAAAATTACTGCTTAAAAGAGTGAGTTCTTCAAGAGCCTCTTCTTTTTACACTGATGTCTTTGGTTGTGTCCTTTTCTCTGATTCTTTCTTTTCCCTAGGAAGAATGGGATTCTTTTTCAGCTTCTTCTTTATGCAGCAGAAAAATGAGATCTAATGGAGTCTTCACGTAACTGCCGATGTTTCCCCATGTTACAGTCCTCCTGTCGAGTTCGTCTCTCAATAGTTATTCTGTATTTCTTTCTGCATGAAAGGAAAGGAACAGAATGAGAAATCCTTCTCCAGCTACAGGCTAACAGACTTCCCTTATGAAGAATGCCTGTAGGGGACAGCTGGGTGCCGTTTGAAAAATGAAACGTGGCAGAATGTGAAACCCTGGTCAAAGATTAAAGTAGTTTGCCTCAGAACATTTTACCCGGCTCAAGAATGCCTGTTAATTTCTACATGGCAGGCTCAAAGCACTAAGGCACGGACATTTGCTTCTTTGAAAATTTCTGATCTAAGTGATTAGGAGTTTTTGTGAAGTGTCATGTGAACTGTGTCACATCACTGCTTTATATTGATCAAAGCCAAATTACTTTTCAGTATGCTGGGTGGGGGGGGGGGGAACTTTCTGGAGAGTTCAAAAAACAGATCTGACTATTCAGCTGTGTTTCTCACAAACTATGTATTAACTAACTAATCTTCCCATTTCCCTCTGAGAAAGCTACTATGTTTCTAATGCCAGAGGAGGTAACATGATGAATTAAGAAGAGGGATGTAGACGACAGATAAGAAATAAACACAAATGCTCATGTATCAGACACAGCTCTTCCTGTGTGTCTTCCTCTAGGGCCTTTTGAAGAATTCTGCTATGTTATTTAGTATGTCAAACAAACCCTCTGACTGCTTTTTTGCTTCCCCTTTAGTACCGAAATCTCCCCCCAAAAATCACTAGATGATTCACATTTATGTTTTATACACTTATGCTTCTACTCAGTTTCAGGACAAATTTTTCAGAAGGGCATTAGTCCAGCCCCGTGTGCTTGTACTGCTGGTGGAGATGCATGGCAAAACCCCTCTATGCCAAGGAAAAGTTCCACCAGCACAGGTAGCAGGAGTCACATCTACATATACAGCAGTGGAAGAAAGATTTTCACAACACCAAGGTTCTGCTTCAAACAACATGGCTGAATAGAAAGTGGCAACCTAAAAGTTCTGAAAATATTACATCAGTACTTGTATCTGTATCAGTAAGCACCAAAATAACTTGAAAAACCTGTGTTGTTTACTTTATTAATGTATTTTCAAGTCAGACCCTTCCATGGGTCAGAGCATGCACAGTAGTAGATCATGCACAAGGACAGGTGCAGAATTTAAGGAGTTTAAGTTAAAATCCAGTCAAAGCCACATATCAGAACTACTCCCCAGACCTTCTAACTGTTTGCATGGACACTCAAAACTGTATTTGCATACTCATTTGTGACAATTACAGATCCAAATGAAAGGTAATTAGAAGGGTACATTTACAGTTTAAAAGGTACAGAAGCTGCAAGTACAAATTACTCCCAGGTACACAATTGCTAAGCCTACCTTTTCTGAAAATCTGACCCACACTCCGTGGGGTTTCAGAGGTTTTTTGTTAGGTTTCAGATATTTATTATATCTTTATAATAATAAAAAATTATATTTTATAAATATATTTATTATATAATTATATAACTATATAATTTCTTATATCTCTAGAATTTTATTTATAATTTTATTTATAATACCTTTATAATTTATTTCAAATATTTATTATATTTACTTACTATTAGATTTCAGATATTTATTCTAATGGTGGAATAAGGGGGCTGTCCCTGCCTCTGTTATGAGCAGTTGCAATCAGATCTGGAGAGTGAAATTCACCCACAGGTCATTAGACATCTCCGACACATAGATCCATCTGACAGCACCCACAGCTTTCTTCAGTAAACTGAGAAACAGGAACTCCTAAGAGACCTGGTTTAACTTTTACATGAAGATGACATGAACTGCACAGAAGTGCTCATTTCTCCCCTCTGACCATATATAAAAAGACTGGGTGTTGAGCTCAGGTGTACTACATCTGCTTTTACAGGCACCCAACTTGGCTTCACATGGATTTCCAGTCCAAATCTTTGTGTCAGATGACTAGGAGTTTAGCTTCTGTTCTTAAAATGATACTTTGCATAGCTTTATAGCAGCCCAGGATATTTGCTGTTTTTTTCTTATTCTTACATACCAATTCCCTCCCAATATCAGCAATGCTACAAGCACACACCTAACAACTGTCATCTCTGGCTGAGAATCTATGTAACATGCAAGAACCTCTGATGACATAAAATATAATGACAGATTTTTATTCTCTTTTACTTTTAAAGATATACTTTATTCAGTCCAAGCCAACTTAATGCTATCTTAAACCCAAACAACACTATAAGCACTGAACACATGCAAGAATAAAATCATCCTGAAGAATTTCAGTTTTAAGTACCTGATGAATAAGCTTGGTTCTTTGAAACCCTGAAAGAGTCATGGTGAATTGAAGCAGACTTTGCCTGTTTTATTTTGTTAACATTTTTTATAAACTGGTATTTTTTATTGGATAGAATTATTTGATTCTTGCATGCAGAGGTTAATTCTATTCTCCTGTCTGGCTTTTCCATAGAAGGAGGATAAACTACTGTATACATAAGGTGCTGAACAAGTATAACTAATGTATTCCATCAGTATAGGATCAATTATCAAGATTTTACATTTGCTGACTAGCATTGTAAGGATTATCTTACTTAAACAGGAATGAAACACTGAACACCCTGCACTGACCTCAGCTTATTAAGTTAAATGTACAGCTTTGGAATCCAAATGCTCTCTTACACCAAAACAGAAATCTCTTTCTGTTCAGTACAATTCCATTCAAGATATAAATCTCTTGCAGATCACAGCCTGCACAACTGTGCTGGCAAGGAGCACCAAACAAAGGCAGCTTTCAAGGCCAGAGCATTTTACTAAAGCAACTGTGAATGCCTGAAACTCACTGGAATTACTTCCATGAGTAACATTACTTAGAGATGTAAGTAGTAACAGGATGAAGACTCAAGTCAATAAAATTATTTGGATAAACACAAAAGGACAATCAAAGTCCTTTGATTGTCCTTTGAGAGTTCACTGTCTCTGGTGAAAATGTTACCACACATTATTATGGTGCCTCTCTGTCTCCCATCAAGGATATTCTGCCAGGAGCTGAGAAGTTTGGATGATGAATAAAAAGTTTACAGAACTTTCAATGAATTGGACTAACCTGAAGAAGTAAAAAGCCATTAGCAATCCTGCTCCAAGCAAGGCGCCCACAACTATTCCTGTAACTGCTGATTCTCCTAGACCACCTGCTTGAAAGGGGGAAAAAAATAAACAATCAGGGTTCATATTGAAAACTATCTGCATTCACATATTGGAAAATACACACAATTAGGGAATTAGTGACCAACATTAGCTAAAAACTAAAGCCTTTCAGAGCTCGGGACTCCAAGGGAACCTGTTCTAGTATCTGCATGTTTACTTTTTTGTCCTTGCTTTCCTTGGGGTTGAGAAAGCCCCCTGATCAGTGTCAGATGAAGGCACAGCTCTGGAGATATGACACAAGGAAATGTTAGGAAACTGGCCTGGACAGCTTGGTCTGCATTGTAACACTGACTGGGGTTACAGTGACACACATAATGGGAATCAGCACTGAATATGCCTTGAGTCACTGTTAACAGAAACAAACTTACCTTACCTGGATTAGAATCTTAACCCTCTATCACCCAGGTTTATTAAAATTACTATGATTATCCAGTATCCACTTCCTCCATATTACTTCCTGAAATTACATTGTTTCAAGTTAAAGCCATATGACTTTCATCTTGCTTCAAATCTCAGCAGCAGCAGAACAGGGACAGAGTGGCTGAAGGGGAGCCCAAAGAGGGAGTGACTCTGGGAAGTGCAGGGATCCTGAAGAGCAATGGCACTTTCACGTGCATGTAGTCTATTCCCATTTCCATTCCCACCTGGGTTTGTGGAAAGGAACAGAGAAGGAAATTCAACTGCTTCCTTCTCTTCCTTTATCCTCGACCCTTCAAGGGGATTCTGTCTGTACAGATGGAAGAGGGTGCATAGCTACAGTACACTGACCACAGATGTGGTCTGCATTCAAACCAGTTTTTCAAGGATTCAAGAAATATCAGGCTGGAGTTAGCTTTTCACTGCAGGACTAGCAATTTGTCTCCTGTGAAAAGATTATCCTTTGTCACCGAGGCACCATTATCTTCCTACCCTAATTTCCTTGCAGCTTCCTACTCACTACAACAAGGTCTGCAATGTCAGTGTGCTAGAAAGACTGGACACCTGCTCTTTCGAGGGTAGTCCCAGCCTTCTGAATTCACAGATGTCACCCCATTCAACTATCTTCACTTCTTCTTAGCCTACTAAGCCCCTCACAGTGCCTTCTCATACCACTGAAAATCATTCTGCACTGGGAGAACATTGTTCCCACTGGCACAGCTGCTAATTATCAGTGTGATTATTCTCTGCTGGGGTTTCAGTTACATCCCTCTTCCTGGCTAAAAGGCCTCCATAAAGACTTAAAGCCTCCAGGGCTCTGGCCTGTGCATGATTACTGCTATGTTTAAGTTCAGGGAAGTGATTCAGACCATGTACTACCCATGGCTGCCAGACCTTAACCTCCCAAGCAGTTGGGAGGGACAGAGACAGCCACCACGTCTCAGTTGGACAACTGTGCTAAACAATTTATTATGGCCCATTATTTTGCAGCAACTCATGGATTCTTCTCTTTGGAGCTGGGGAAGCAGCATTGAGTCACTAAACTTACATGATTTACATGGTGTATTGTTTGTGTGCTCTGAAACTCGGCTTTCATCTAGTCGCAGCCTGCCGTGGTTCCACGGGTATTTCACATTCGATCGAATTTCAAATCGCCCCTGCTTCCCATAGTAGTCCCCAATCACCTAGGCAAAACAAGAAGGGGATGAAAGGATTTTACTGTCAACTTAGGGAAGTGAAACAAACAGAGGAGAAGCGTCACTCACTCAGCTCCTGTGGTATGATGTTGAATCTCAGGGAAGAGGGCTGAAGGGGTCTGTGGGAGGTTACCTGGTGCATGCCCTGCCCTGGGGCAGAATCAGCTGAAGGAAAGCATTCCTGACAGATGTTTATCTAATCTGTTAATGAAAGCCTTCAAAGATGGAGACTTGACAATTTCTGCATCAATTAGTCTGGAACTTAGCTACCCTTACTGTCAATTGTTTTCCCTAGCATCTAACATAAAATTTTTTTTTTGTAATTATCCATCACTTGTTGCCAAATTGTCAGTTGTCATAGAAACTCTTCCTTTCTGCATCGCTGCTTTCCAGGCTCTTATCTGATTCTGCCCTCAGGCTTTTTTTCTATATAAATCCAGTTTATACAAGCTTTTTAACTTTCTGAATATTCCTCCTACTCTCCCTGGGCTTGTATTCAATTGCTCCATAGTGAGTTGAGTGCTTAGGATTGTCACCCAGCTAATTGAAAGCATCAGCAGCTAGACATGAGTCTAGACTGGGCATGAACAGACCCAGAGCAGCCCTGCCCAGAAGGACCTGGGGGTGCTGTGGGTGAGAGGCTGGACATGCCCTGGCCATGGCACTCACAGCCCAGAGAGCCAAACCTGTCCTGGGCTGCATCCAGAGCCCCATGGGCAGCAGGGGAGGGAGGGGATTCTGCCCCTCTGCTCTGCTCTGCTGAGACCCAGCTGGAGCATCCAGAGCTGGGGTCCCTGCACAGGAGGGACAGGGACCTGCTGGAGCCAGCACAGAGGAGGCCACCAAGATGATCAGAGGGATGGAGCAGCTCTGCTGTGAGGACAGGCTGAGAGAGCTGGAATTGTGGGGAGATCTCACTGCAGCCTTTCAGTACTTCAAGAGGGTTTATAAAATAGAGGGAGAACAACTGTATCACAGGCAGGTAGTGACAGGACAAGGGCAACAGATTTAAACTAAAAGAAGAGATTTAGATTAGATGTTAGGCAGGCATTCTTTGCTCTGAGGGTGGTGTGGCACAGGATGCAGAAAGAAGCTGTGCATGTAACTTCAACATCCATGCAAGGCCAGGGTGGTTAGAGCTCAGAGCCATCTGGTCCAGAGGAAGGAGTCCTTGTCCATGGCAGGGGCATTGGAACTGGATGGTCTTTAAGGCCTCTCCCAATCGAAACCCTTCTGTGGTTCCAGGAATTCGAGCACTTTGAGTGCTGAGACTCAACTACACACTCCAGGATCGAGTCTTCTGTTTTGGCAGAATTCAGATATACTTGACTATGTTACATTGAAACCTTCAAATCTTGTCTTTCTGCAGTTGTTGATATTTACATATGCATTATTCTGGTAGTAGGGCAGTATTTTTTCATACCAATTCATAAAGGCACTTTAGAATTTCAGTCCTGTCTTTCTTCAGCAGTTTCAGGCTTCATTCAAGATAGCCTATGCTGACTCTACTGCAGCAATATGTCTAAAAACATCTATGTACAGCAGCAAAACCATTTACTGTGACACTGAAGTGGTCAGAAACAATGGCAGGAGCACATCAATACATCTTTTTGTCCTACCACAGATAAAACTTAGATGTTAATACACCAGATTTAGAATTCAAGGCATGGATAGCCTCTTGAAATCTTTCACCTGAATTTCATTTTGAAGTCAGTGACATTAAATAATGTTTCCGCTGGTTAAATACACAAAGGTACATTTTACACTAAATAAAGATACTTATTTCTCTCACAGTTGCAACTGGGATATAAATCCTTTGAAGAATTACTGTGTTCAGCAATTGTCCAAAAATTAAGGTGAAATCAGTAAACCAGAAAAACAGAGACCATTCACAGGCAGCAGATTTTTTATTAAGAGACTGTTTAATTTATTTTATTTATATGTTTTCAAGCAGGAGTGGGTGAGTCCTCTACCACCAAGACTTATTAAATAAGAAAATATGAAGAACGGTTTAAGAGCAAAAAGCTATAAGCAGGAATCACATGGATTCAGATCAGAAGTAGGATATAGATTTTTGAAGAGCAAGAATGGTTCCTCTTTGGAACAAACATTGAGGGCACCAGCAAGGCAGTCTCTGTTTTTTCAGTGTCTTCAAACCAAAAATAAATGCCTGTTGCAGCATGAGTTTTACTCACTTGTAAACAACAGGGCTCCATAGAGGTTAAGAAACCTGCCTGTGCCAAAATATAGCAGAGATCAAACTAGGAAATCTAGGTTTTCTTCTAGCTTTAAACTCTGAGAATAGACCTGGGAAAATAGCTCTGCCCAAACACCCATCCATCTGGCATAGTTCAGCTGAGAAACATTCTCCTACACAGAAGAAGTTATCCAGATGAATAAAACAAGTTATCAAATAAACAATGTTTTTAGAGTGAGGCGTGAGGTTAGAAATTATGTGGCAGACAAAAGTAGTAAGTAATCATGTGTAAAATGTTAATTGCATGTATATTTATGTATCTAAAAAAAGCAAAGGGAAATTCCACAATAAATTAAAAGAATAAATGTAACATTTGAAAAAAAAAAAAAAAGGGTAGTTTAAATTCCAAGCAAAAGAGCAATGGAAAGAAGGGAAAGATGAAAATTAAATTGATAAATGAGATAAAAAGCTCCTGGGCTGAGAAAACAGAAGAAACACAGGCTGTTCACACCGAAGTTATCCCAACCATTTTGTACTCCTACTACCCCTGTGAGTGTCTGCAGTTTACTGGTGTAGTTTTTCAATCACTTTCACACACTAAAATACACGAGACATCCTCATACTTCTAAAAGGGCTCCTTGAATTCTTCTCTGCTGCAATACCAGCAACAATGTAATTTCACTGGATTCAAAACCACTCACTGAAATGTCCAGCTCAGATACTGCTACTTTTTGTTTGAGCTTGTTGAAATCAGGGAGACCAGCAAAGCTGAGGCTGATGCTGATTTTGCAACTAACAAAAGCATTACCCTGCAGCTGGACTTAGGGCACTGCATGTATTAATAAACTCAGCCCAGGCATGCTATTCTCTACTTGCAGCTGGTGCTGTTTCTCACAGACTTTTTCACAGTCCATCTCTTCCATTCCTTCTGCATCCAGTGGAAAAACCTATTTGGTGCATATGGAGCCATCTGATTAAAATGTTTCTTAAACACTGAAAAGAAGGCACTCAGGAATGGCTGCCTGACAAACAAGGCCAGGCAAGGCTTGCACTCCTGCTTGTGGCTGACCACAGCCTAAGATTTAAGTACCTGTACTTGCTGTGTTAATACATCAGGACAACTCATGCATCAGTGTTGCTGTAAGATTAATCTTTCTTCCCACCAATAAATAAAAGGCCTTGCTCATTTTTAAACAATAATTTCTCATATGCAAGATTCGCAGTACTTAGCCAGCTTGTGAGAATTCACCCTTTAGTTAAAGGCTAGCATCATGTGAAGTTGTACTGTTAAAGAAAAGAACAAAGTTTAAAAAACTTACTATAACTACTTCAAGATAGCTATTTTACAGAAAGGATTCGGTCTTTAAATTGATAAGATTAAGCCACCAAGTAAAGAGATGATATCATATTACTTTGAATTACTAATTCATCAGTGGCCACTTGCAATGGTGTTTGTTTTCCTTACCTCCTGTGTGCCTGCCTCCGGGTCTGTCATTCCAATCACAGAGAAATCCCCATATCTGTCTCCATTGGCATCAATGGACACCTGCCCTGCAATGCCTAAAGAATGGCATGTGAGGAATCAGAAGATTAATTAGTTAAAATACTGAGCCTTTCCAAGCAAAACATGAAAACAGTGGACAGGTTTTTACAGACTGATATGACAGGAAATCTCATCAATCTCCCTGCATTTTTGTTGGCATTCCAGAAGAAACTGTAATTTCATCTCGGTGTCTGCATTCCTGAATTCTTAACATTTCTCCTTTTTAAATATTAAACGTGTGAGTCTGAAGAATACGTGAGAAAAATCTAACCCAAAAACCATGTAAGACTAAAACACGGATATATTTAACATTAATTATTTACAGAGAGCCTAATCCTGAAATATCTGATGATGCCTCAATAAAGAGAGTCCAGCTCATGTGCTGCAGAGGACACAGGGGCAGAGACCTAGATCCTACAGGCTGAAGGGGCTACTGCACCCATACAACTAGTCCAGTGTGGTTTCCACCTACTGGGATACTGGACATGGCATGAAACAGGGGCTCCATGTGCACTACAAATGCATTAAGCCCTGTATTCATCTACATAAGATTAACTATGTAATACATTTAATTTGATTTATATTCTTAGAGCCACATTCCACTTCCTTGTTTTACAGTTTCTAGAAAACTTTGGGGAAACTGGGACTCATTGATTCATAGGTTATCTCAAGTTTGAAGGGGCTTTGGGGATCCTGAGCCCAATCTCCAGCTTAGAGGTTTTATCTGCTCTCCAAGATCTCCAAGGATGGAAACTGCACAGCCTCACTGGGGCAACTGGTTTGGTCTGCCAAGGGAAATGAACACATCCTTGGATTCCATCTAAACCTGTTATTTAAATGCATGTCCTTGTGTACAAAAAGCTTGGCTTCAAATTCTCAAGTGTAAGTCAAACAGTTTCTTAAAATCCATCAAACAATACCAATTAACTATGGTGAAGACACTTTAAGACTCCTGGTACACTTTTTCACCTTAGATATCCTCAAATGTGATCCTCCACTGCCTGACATCAAGCACAGCCATTGACACCTGGGCAAGGCAATCAGGTATCATTGTACACCCATGTTACACCAACTGCACCAGCTACAACCAGGCACAAAGCCATGGAGATTCAGGCTCTCAGCAACAGTCAATCAGAAAAGAGAGATCGGATATTCAGAGTACAAATTTCCCCCAATGTGCCAAGTGATAGTGAGCATGCAACAGACTTAACACATCTCCATTTATTCTGTGTCTGTTCAGATTTAGTGATGTCAAGAATATCTCAGCTTGCTGTGGTTTTTAAAATATGAAGTGGTAATCAAAGATTATTGTTAAGCATCTATTTCACTGTAACAACACAGTAATCACATAGTTGTCAATTCAATTACTGCAGGGAAATCAAATGGGTGTAACAGCCACTTGGCTCTGAGACTCTGAAAAACTGTGATGTCCCTGATTACTCATGAATTTGGATTCTGGGTCTGACAGGAGGTACTAGTTGAAACAGACACTTTTGTGACCTAAAAAAACCAAAACTCAGTTTTTGCAAATAAGTACTGAAATTGAAACCTGGAGTTCCTATAGGATTTTTTTTTTCCAGTAGGAAGGATTAATTTTTCATAGGAATTTGAAAAGCTGACATTTCCTGCAATTTCCTTAAGAAACATTTCCTCAGTTTCCTTACGGAAATTAAGAAATTTCCTACAGAAGTAGGAAATTTTGAAACAACCTTAATGAAGAATTGCATTTGCATGAAAGTGGAATGATTTTATCTCAGCTTTCTTTCTGGTTTTTTATGTGAGACACCTACATACAAAAAAAAATTTTCTACTTTTTCAGAGGAAATACCAATGAATAGCAAATACTCTGCACCAGATGTGCCCTGAAGTTATACCATGCTGTCTTTAACAAACCAATGAATCCTAAGCAATCCTTAGATCACCCCAGCCTTGTCCTTTCCTAAGCCCATAATGTCTGTGCAGCTGTGGCAGGCAGATGGAATTCTGCAGGAAGAAGCATCTACATTCTGTTTGGAGCCCTGGTAAGTCAGAGCAGGTGTAAAAATGAGGTGCCAAGACAATCAGATATCTACATGTTAGAAGTTAAATTAATTCCACTGGTGAAACTGGAGTTCTCATTAGCAAGGCCTGCAAAAGTCAAAGGGAATGACAGAGCTTCAGTCCCACAGCAGAACCTGATGGGTGTGCATGAACCATACTCTGTGATGCTGCCTCCACTGCAAAGAGGGGCTCACAGGAAGGATAAAGGGACTTTATCTTCCTTAAGGGACTGGACTACAAGACATTGAGACAAAGGCCGCTTTAAAAGTCAATTTTATGTCCACCAAAGTACTGCCACAGGGAGAAAAAGTCATATGACTTACAAGAATTTTGACCAACTGCACCCTCAAAGCCCAAGTCAGCTACATTTTCAGAATAGGTGGAATAAGCCAGCCATCAGCAACAATCTGGTTTTCTAAAGTGAGGAAAGAGAACATTTTTATCTCCTGACAGGTTTTACAAGCAAGGTGTGAGGATCAACCGTGTAGCTCACGTGGAGCACATGGAACTACAAAGGATGCATGAGCACACCAGTTGGTGGCTTCCTGGAGCACAGGAACAGGAGCAGAGAAAACACAGGCTGTGCTGAGGCATCTGCTCACACACAGCACAAACAGACAAGTAAATCCTTAGGCACCAGATTCCCTCCCTTTTAAAACAGTGTTTTGGAGAGCCACAGATATGAAGAGATATCTTGGGATACCAAGCACAACCTAGAAATGGTGCAGGGCTTCTCATGAGACCACTGCAACCAGCCTAACTTAAAGCAATCACTTGCTTTAAAGTGCTTGAGTGTTCCCTTAAACTGCCCTGAGTGTTCTTCTGCCTTGTGTTCACAATTGTACCACAATTTGAGAACAGAAAATTGGTTTGGGGCTACTGCCCTTCTTGCCTTCCTACACCATATTCAGCGTGTTCTAGGAGCTGAGAACCTGGCCACTGAGGTTTTTCTTACACATTCAGATGAATCATTTGCTTCTTATCTAGGGGAAATGTTTCCTTCTCTCAGGCATTTCCACAGGAAATCTTGCCAGTCTATATCAAATGATTGGACTACTATATGAGATGGATGGAAATAATTTAAGAGATGACAGATTAAACCAATAGTCTTCAGTTTCTTTATTACAATTCTTACCTGGCAAAAGCATCAGCATTGCTTTGCATCAGCAAGGTGACACACAAGTGCCAGCTGCACTGCAGAATTGTATCCTCGAGGATTAGGCACAGAATGGCACAGTGCTGTTCAGCTGCTGCCTCTGAGACAACACACACAGCTCCTGAAAGGGGGCTGGGGGAAATCCTTCTAGGGCCCAAAGGAATCCCATTGAGAAACACAAAATAACCTCAACCCTGGCACCTGCTTGCTTCTATCCATTCCCAGGCTTTCAAGATAAAAAAGTGAAATGGAAAAAATGAGGCAATCTCAGAGCTAATAGATGAATGTGAGCAAAGCAAGCAGCTGTAATCTTTTCAAAAACAAATAAGTAGCCTGAGAAAATTATTGGTATTTCTTTACAACATCAGTGAGGGTCATTAAATTAAGAGGTTTTTGAACTGAGTCAAGACCTCAGCAATTGGTGCAAATAAAAGACAGACTGAGATATGTGAGCCAGCCTTAAAGACGCACATGGTTTCATATGGTTGCTTTCCTCTCTCTTAGGAGTGGAATATACACGAGACCTTACTTTGCACAGAACAAAGACCTGAAGATTTTTGACTCTGAAAACTGGAATTCCATATCAACTATTACCTTCATAGGTTCTGTTCCGTGTTTGTTGAACAATTTTTTCCCCATCTTTCTTACTGAAACCTATCTTCAGGACTTCCTGTAAAGCTAGAGCATAAAGAAGAATAGCATCATGGAATCCTTCCACAAACATGTTCACCTAAAAAAGAAAGAAGAAAAAAAAAAGGCAGTTGATATATAATAAATTTTTTCTTTCCTAGGTAATTGATTGACTAGAGCAAATCTACAAATTAACCAAAGTGACTAATTTGGAGAGTTATTTTCTCAGCTGCTGGAACAGAAAAGAATGTATCTCAAAAAAACCTCAGGGGGACAATGGCAACTTCTAACTGTTTTTAAAACAGTTAACCACTATCTGTATTCTGGACACTCATAATGTTGTGTCTGAATAACTTTGCAGATAGGGTAGAAATTTGCAGATCCCAGTTCCCATGCCCAGAAGCACAAATTCTGCACTTGACCATGTGAGATTCTGTCAGGTGCTGAGCACCCTCGTCCCACAGCAGCAACTATAGCCCCCTCCCCCTGCACAGGGGACTTAGCACCTCTCAGGACTGGGAAGTATGTTCTGTCATGATTTTTTTTGGAGAGCACAACTGGCAGATTTGCTTGTTTAATGATTACCATTTCCATTCCTGGCCCTTGTTCAGCCAAGCATCTCCCCACTAGCAAATGAGCAATGGAGAAAACTACTTACCCTCTCCAGTAATGTGTTCTCTGGAACTGCCTCCAGAGAAGGCAGTTTTTATCTCTCCTTTATCATTTTCTCACTAAGTTACGTGAAATCAATGAAATAACCCTAACCCTGCTTTATAACACTAACACAAGAGAAGATTGCTTCCAATGAACCTCCATAGGCAATGCACAGTTTTCGGTCTGTGAGTTACAAAAACAGCTGAGTGCTGCAGAAACATTACAAGTTTGCTCTCAGGAGCCTGGTGTGCTTCAGTGGTGAAGCAATAATTATTTCAGAATTGGAGTTCAGATGAAGACCCATCAGTAGAAGTTGATGCAGAATGACCTGAGCAGCACAGGTATTCCTGCTCCTTCTCTGTAGGCAGCAACTCACATTTCAGCAGTGGAATGTATCACTCAATACACAGTAATTCTGAATAAATTATCTTTCAACTGCAAGGAAGATGTTCCCATCCACTCAGGAGTTTCATTACAATAAAAAAAAACCTCCTGACATCCTAGCAAAGGTGTAATCACATTATGGGGTCCCTTAATGCCACTTCCAGTGAACAACTCATCTCTACAAATACTCCCCTGGACAGAAGTAACATTTAAGTTATCTTCCACTTCAGTGGATCAAAACAATTTAAAATGCCAGTAAATGAAATGCTACTCTAACTCTCTCAGGTTCAGCTGGACATTAAAAATGTTACAAGACAAAACATGTGGCCAGTAAACAAATAACTGCTCCACAGATATAAAGTATTACATAGTTGATTGGCAAACCGAGCTAGTCAAACCCTGATAATGTTGTTACACCCAAGACACGCCTTCACTCTTAAAGCAGTTGCCAACAGTAAGGAGAATTTCAGAATTATTTACTGATATTATAAAAGTTTACATTGCTCTGACATTTAGAACTGGACTTTGAGCAATTCCAAACTATGCTACACTTGAATGCATTACATTCAGTGGGGGAAGAGACCATGGTGTCACAGGAGGTGCAAAACAGCTCAGCTCACTCTGACAGCCGCAGAATAAAGGGCAGCTCCAGTTATTCTGAAGTAAAAAGAAAGCCTGAAAGGAGGTGAAAGTCAGGCTTTTGGTGAAATAAAAAGAGCTGATGGACAGGGTGCATACTAGGACAGGCTTTGCCAGCAGGGGCTTTAACTTTTCAGAACTGAAAAAACCCAACCAAACCAAGAAACCACAAAGCCTGACAACTGCTTCATGTGCCAGTGTTAGAGTCCAAGTGGCCTGTGGATGATCAAACTTCAGCTTTCTTAATGTGACATTCTTTCTCTCAGGAGAGAAATTAACTCTCCAGTAGCTATACCTCTCTGCTGGCTGATTTACAGTTTGTGGCTGGCATTTGTTTAAAGGAAAGCTATTTGTCACTTCTTTTGTCCTTGGCAAAGACCTCTCAGTGTAACACAGCAACCTTCAAAATCCATTGTGTCAGCTAATTTGCTCAACCTGAAATCTAGTCATGCCACAGGCCTGAAAACCCTTCTGTAGACGCTGCAGATTTGCCAGATAAGCCCTGTCAAAACTCACTTGGCAGTTTGGGAGGTTACTGCCACAGCCTCTTGCCAAAGCTCCACTTGGCCAAAACCCCTTACATTACATGTGAAAAATCACATTAAAAAATTGTCAGAAAATCATTTATGCCACTGCTCAGTTGCTCACACACAAACCCCAGCATTTTATTTCATGTTGTCAAGGAAGCTGAAACTATGGATAATTAATGCAATTTAAAATCTTCTGAAAGAGTTGTAATTACTGTTTGCAGATGGGATTGCACTTACACTCCCCAGCCAAACCATATGCTGGGCACACCTGAGACATTTCACATTAATCCAGGAACATGTTTAAGCAGCATTTCTTGAAAGGTGATACAGGACCCTATGAAGGGAATAAAGTTTTCCTGTATATCATCTTGTTCAATCTTTTGTAAATTGCCACGATTCCACACAGACCATGTGTTGCATGATGTGGATAGACTTAAAATGTGAAGTAATAGCTGCAAAAATTTTGAAGGGTTTGCTCTTTGCTGCAGGAAAAGCATTTAAAAGGGCTAGAGTCTGAAGTTTATATTCCAGGAAAGCTTCAAATAGGAATGAGAGTAACTGTGAGATGTCCTCACAGGCTGCTTGAAGGCATCCATGGTAATCAATAATGTGTTAGTTCAAACTTAGACGCCTCCAGGATAAAAACTGAACAGAGTTTAAAATCTATTAAAGGCCCACTAATCTTATAGATTATTATTATTAAAAGTTCTTTTAGTTGAGCTCTAATACATAGCAGCCTTTTCATTGTAGTGTTTTCCATTTTAATTTATGCTGCCTTTTAATTACAGGTGTGAGCAGAGCTCCAAATGCTGTGATCACAATTTGCACATCAGACCTACTGAAATGTTGCTGTCCATGCCCCATACTGCAGGGCCACCCCCTCAACGTGGCAGCAATGCCACTGGCAGCAGAGAAGCTGCCAGCTTTGCTGAACATCTTTGGAGGCTGCAGTACAAATATGTGGAAACCTCTTTCTGAGCTATCTTCTGTTCTACTTTCACATCCTACTCTAATACCATACACCTAAAAAGCAAGTATGCTAACTGCACAGGTGAATAAGATATATACTCCATTTATCTTCCTGCCTTTTTCCTCTAATTAATCACCTTCTATCAGAGAAAAGAAAACAACCAAAACCCAACAACCCCCCTCAGTGCAAATCATGTGCATAAATTTTACCCAGTTCAAAGTTATAGCTCCCCAAGCAGCTATATTGTGACCACACTGTTCATATATACCAAGGTGTTAACAGCATACACAGCAATGCAAAACACTACCGATGTGGAAGACAGCCAAGATACAGCTATGCCAGACCCATAATTTTCCATATCCTGCCTACTGACTGTAAAATAAGATTATTCTCCTCCATCTGGAACTGCCCATCTCTGAATCACAGCAATTACAGCAATTCGTACCACTTTCCATGCTTAGTGGGGTGCATCATCATCGCTTCTTTTTCTATTGAAAAGGCAAACAACATCTCCCACACTTGGTCTTTGCATTTACTTTTCAGTACATCCATAGTGATATTCAAGTTGTCAAACTACAGTTTCAGCCCCAAACAGTGAAGACCCTAGGGAACTGCAGAGGGCTGTACCCAGATATTTTGCAAAAATCTTACCAATTTATGTATTTGACATGATGCTCCTACTATCTCACACTGTTACGACATACCTCAATAGAAGTATTTTTCTAAGCAGCTGCAATTTAACTGTCAGTTCTCCCCTTTTAATCCTCCTTCACCAAGCCAATTATAATTATGGTCCCTTCTTTATGAGCTTTTCTAAGAAGCCCTGACATAAATAACTTTTCTTTCATGCATTCTTGGCACACATCTTCAGTTTTCTTCTGCTGACTCACTATCCAGAACTATTCACTTAACTCTACAACAGGGATTTCTTTCTTTAATACCATTTGCTGATGTTGCATATTCCCATTCAGGACACTGCCACAGCCCATGCTGTTTTAAATACTTATTTATGGTCCTGAGATGGCCAGGAGCTTTCAGCAGTTCTTTGATGAGTTGCTATGACCTTGCTCTGAGCTGCACAAATCTAGAACAGAACGGTCATGATTCCCATATAGTAGATGATCAACATAAAGAAATTATTCACGTTTAACTTTTTTAAAGATAAAATATCATTTTTACAAATTGATTTTATGTCAAACTCCTAGTTTATGTAATCCCAATGAGAAACTCTGGGTGGAACTGACATGTAGATTGAAAATGTGAAACTGAAGGAAAAATATTCTTACACCTGATCACTACCTGAGAAAAGGTGAAGTGCATTTCAAACCAGCAATGTCATGTGCAGTTTCAGCTTTGCAGTAATGTATTAATCCTACTGCCATAACACTACCATGTGTCATTCAGTATGCCTATTAGTCATACCCCTAACAGGATCAAAGTTTTCACTAACCCACCATCCACCTCCTCAGATCCTCACAGGATTTCTCCATTCTGTACATGCAACAGAAACTCACAGAGCTCCCAAACATCACCTATGGATAACAGCTGGGTAATGCTAACATGCACTGGAACTGGGATTTCAAGGACTCCAAACAAATGCAGAGCCACAGGATACACCCATAAGGAGCTATCATAAACAGCATGTCTTTGGTTGCCTTCAGACAGGGAGGCATCACTGTGGAACCAAAGCAGGAACTGGAAAGGAGAATAAAGCTGTAAGACAGTTAATCAAATCTGTATATTTAGATGCCTAAGACTAAAAATACAGACTGTTTGCCTGGGCAACCGTACTGCTCCCCTACTGGACCATAGTGCTTCAAACAAATAGGAAGAAAAAGGGAAAAATAATATAAATACATGCTTTCTTCAGAGAAGGCCATTTCCACAATATTTAATTCAAAGCTGAAAAGGAATACATGGCAT